AATCCACATGATGCAATGTCTGAACAGCCTGTTAGCCACAGGGGCAGTCCTGACCCTTTGTTGAGGAACCAGCTGGAGAACTGCAATGGGAGCTTGGCCATCAACCACTGTGGACAGGGTCAGCTCTACACCATGATTCAGCCAAAACACAAATGTGGGTGTAAGTGTATGCTTGTGGATGCTTTACTTTGCTACCAGAAAGTTTACTAGTTTTGCACAATAAGAGGAAAAACATGCCTGTTATCTCACCTGCTGCACACTGATCAGCTGTTTAGGACATCCAGGTGTACTGAATTTCAAATCTCAGCTAACTGAAAGAATAAAGGTCCTTATACACCGGGAACGATGCAAATATACAACGCAAAGTTATGAAATATTCTGAGGCGAGTTTTGACGCGCCTGACTATACACATCAAGCACAATGTGATTTTGTGACTTTCTGGGGGAAAAAAGATGCGTCCCGAGTGGAAGCGAGAAGACTGACACAACAGCAGACTGACTGTTTTCAGTTCTGATTAGACACTAGTGTTGAGATGACTGTCTGTCATGATAGTATGTACTGAGTCGGGGCCAGTACCAGATAAGCACATTAAACTATAATCCATAAACGTAAGGTAACAACCGGGACCTAATGGTGCTGTGACAACAACGCGATTGAGTTTGAGACAGTGAAAATACATATGGTATGTTGTATCTGAACAGGTTAGCTTACAAGCTAAAGTTACTTAGCACAGATGAAAGTTAAAACAAAGATGTTAAGCAAACTGTTAAAGCACTCAAACCATCGTAATATGAGAGATCCGACGCTATGACTCTCCACAAGTTGTCCTTCAGGTCGTTATCTTTGTAATATTTGTGTTTTTTTATCAAAAAGCACTCTGTTCTCTGACACGTAAACAATCAGCCGGTCGGCCATGTTGGATATACCGGTGAATCAGTCGTTGCAACAACACGCAATCTGATTGGTCAGAAGTGGACACAAAGAATGTAAAATTTTAGAAAATTCAACGGTGATCCAAAAAAAATAAGTGCAGCAATATCGCAGGACGGGAAAATGTCGCTGATATGAACGCTTGTATTGACAGGATACGGGTTCAAAAAGAAATATTGACGTCCGAAATAATCGCACGAAAGGACCTTAAGGCTTTGCAAACTGGAGAGCAGGAGAGATCCTGACTTGACCCTATCTGGAGTGGTTGATGGTCTAGCTTCTGTTCTGGTTCTTTCACTGGTTTCTAAATAACAGGGCCGAGCTGACCAGAATCCTCTGTGGGTAATTCTGTTGTTCTTGACATGTACCTTATAAAACCCACTTGATAAGAAAAAAAATGGTAAAGCAAGGACAGGTCATCTGCTTTGAGGAATTCTGTAATACTTAAAGGTAAAACTGTAAACATTGCAGTGATGTTGTAAATATTCATTGTAATTTTGTTTAATTACCTAATTCAGCCCAAATGAAATGATTTGGTTGGTCTACCTTCATGTACTTTACTGATCGTTCTTAACTTCTCCTACTAATTAAAGCTAAACTGCTGCTTACAACTAGCAGAGATGGTTTGATATTATTGACAATAACAACATGCACTGTGCTCTTTGAACCAGCACTCTTGGGCAGACCGTGACAGTGTTTAATGCACGCGGACATGAAGAGAAAAGAAAGCATGAGCCAGGTTTTCAGGAGGTTAATGTTTTTTGACTTATTGATCACCCTTCAGACTTCAAGTTAATGCCACAGTTTGTAACTAAAATTTATTAACATTCATGGATTAAATCTGAAAACCAGAAAAGCCAAGTGGGAGCAAGTCTTTAAAGTGAGTGTTTATCTTTCACTGTTTTTGATTGCATAATGACACAACTGGTTTCACTGCAGGCTGAAAAGCACTTCAGTGTTGCATTTGTAAATAGCGCAAAAGCTTATAATACAAAACAATATGAGAACTTCATTGGTCCCCAATAGGAAATTCATAATAAAGGCTATTATTCAAAGATTTTTTAAGTCAAAGTGAAAATTTCTTGGTTAACTGAGATAAGTGCTTGGATCAGAGTCTCTCAAAACTAGCAATAAATTAGGTGACAGAGTCAGTTAAAAATATCAGCCTGCTGTATCTACCGGCAGTTTTGTCATCTACTGTGCCAAGTACTCTTATTAGTGAGATACTATTAATGTAATCTCATTTCAGGAACACTAATATCCCTTCAAAAGCTCAGAAAGGGTTTGTAGATTTGGTTGTTGACTGCATACAGTTTCCAGGGAGTGTAATCTCTACATTATTACGGTGACTTTAAGTTGAGTATAAGCTGATAATGACACAGGTGTGGGCAGAATTAGAAGCACAGACTGTTCAGTTAGCTAATTATCATTTGTTGTAACCGATGCATCTTGAACCCCTCTGTGTATTTTCTTTTTGCACTTTTCTCTATTGTTTCCACATCCTGCTCCTCACACTCCCTCCCACCCTTCAGTTTCTTTGTTCACTTTCTTTTACCCTGCCCTCCCTTCTGTTGTTTTTTCACCTTCCTCTATTGCTCCCCGCTCTTCTCCCTCCCTCTTTTCTCTCGCTGTCATCTCAATACCCAACCTGATGGATAATGTCAGGATCCATTCAGAAATCTGGTAGATACGTCTGCGTACTGACACATGTTTGCAAATCCAATTTTTAGCCTCACTCATTCCTCCTCGTGTTTTATCTTCCTGCGTCAATATTTTTATGAACTGATAAACCTCTGCGAAGATGTAAGTGATGGCAGAACAGGATCACAGCAGAGTTCAATCATCTCCTCAGAAACGTTTTAATTAAGACTCAGAAGCATGTGCCTGAGACTTGGAAAACGTACAGCGATTTTGGGGTCACCTTGTTGAGAAAATGTGCTAATACACGTAAGAGTATAGGTCCTTTTTTTGCACATTTGTAGGTAGTGCTGGGCGATTGGACGATAGATATCGTGGGCACGATAGAAAATGTCTATCGTGCCATTTTTATTTTTATCGTTTCGGGCGATAGGCTGTATTTTATCCATAGGGCTTGTGCCATCAGATGATTCATAGTAACAACAACAATAATTGCACATTCAGTAAGTGTATTTGGTGTCAAACGGGAAAGAAAACAATATTTCCTTACAAAGAAAAGGATGCGTTGACATGTAGGCTCGCATTTCTCTTTCGATTTTGCGACATGACACCGCTTTACGTGCCCTCTTTGTGTCCAGCGTCTCCCGCCGTTGCGGGTTACCTGGGTTACACACGTGAGGGGATCATTGTAAGCAGTGCTTAATTTGTGCCGGAGCGAGTCGGAGCGCGATCCGGGACCTCTTTTGATCGGATCCGGGACCTATTTCAGCCGCTCCGGCACCTGTTTTATGTGCTCCGGGACCTTCCCTGTAGAGGATGACATTTTTCGGGGATTCCCCGTGGGTCACGTGATTCCCGCGGGATGGGAGTCATTTTTTAATTAATCCCTTGATCGGGACAGGACGGGAAAAAAGCAACGGGAGTGGGCAGGAGCGGGAACATTAATAGATGATCATTTTCAGCCGTGTTTAACAACCAGATGAACAGGTGCGTCCATTTTTGTAGTCATCTCTCAGTGAGAGCTAACACTCTTGACCGCGCTAGCAACACAAAAGAACTACAACAGTGGTTTGACTTCCTGTCAGCTGGGAGCGCGGCTGCGCATTTCTACCCTTCAAGCCAGCAGCGAGGAAACGTAATTTTGTGACATTCTGTAGTTTTTCAATCATTTCTGGAGTCGTGGCGAATCAAATCACCTTACCTGTCTGCCCCTGATAGGCGAATAAAGCGCTCGGATTCATGCTCGGGTCTTCCCACGTGCTTCAAGAGTAAAGTAAACAATGATGGAGGCATAGAGCAGCTTTGGAGGAGAAACATCTAGCAGTGTGAACAACCTCTTCAAAAGAGCCCTGAAGACCTACCTTTTTAATAAAGTCTTTGGTTAGTTTTCCTCTATGCTTTTACTACCTTGCCTCTTACATTGCAACTCTATATTTTTTATTTTTTTAATTCTTTTTTTTATGCCAATCTGTGACTGTCATTCTATTGCTTTTTTTTATTGTTGCTGCTCTTTTTTTACTGTGTACTGTAGCACTTTGAGATTTTTTGTAAATGTAAAGTGCATTACAAATTAAATTTATTATTATTATTATTATTATTATTATTATTATTATTATTATTATGGAGTGCTTTGGCTCACACTCAGCGTTTTCTGTGAGTGTTGCATAACTTTGGGTGAGCACAGACATGAACGCACTTCAGCCACGTATTTATTTATTCATTTTTCTAGTTTTAAGTGCTGGTCTTGTACAGGTACTAGTGCAGCTGTATACACTTACATTTTTCATAGAACTGAAAGCATACCATAGCTATATCGTGATATATATCGTTATCGTGATATAAAATGATCCATATCGTGATATACATTTTTTTCCATATCGCCCAGCACTATTTGTAGGTGTGCATGTGCGCAGGCATGTGCGTGGATCCTGCTCGAATGATGCGATGAGGAACGTCTGTCTCCCAGTGGGCCTCTCTCATGGCATATCAGCAACGCCATGGGCTGCCAACGACGGGGTGTGTTCGCACGTGTGTGTGCACACTTAAGCCTTCCAAATGTTCTCGGCCTCGACGAGATCCAAGAACATGACTCAAACGTCACACCTCTTCAGTTGCTATCTTTTAGTCTCACTGTCTTCGATACATATTCTCCTGTTCGTCTCATTCCACCGACCGTGTGTTCCTTTTCCAATGCGCCTCTGTCTTTTTGTTACATACGCACACACCACAGCAGGTCTCTTCTGTCATATCTGGCTTGTCCATATATGTGTCATTATGGAACTAAACACCCCCAGCCTCAAACAGACCTGCAGAGAAAACATGTTACCAAACCTGACATTATTGCCCTGAACAAAGGTGTCTTCTTTACTCTCTGTGCTCCTTTAGTCGTACAAAAGTTGCTTTAATGTATGCACCTCTTGTATCTGCTTTGGTATTTATATCCTACCTCTGCATATGTGTATATTTCTACACATAACTCAAAAATAACAAGCACCTTTAACTCCAGTTGCAGTTTTTCATGGCTGCACACACCAGATCAAAGATCCTGTGTCAGTATGTTGCAGCAACCAACCTCTGTTCTTTGATCTCGACACATACATACCACACAGCAGTAAGTACTAGTTGGCTTTTTGAAGTAATTGCAAAAAAAAAAAAGGAATTCAGAAAAGGAAAGCACAGGTTATGACATATAAACAGGGCAAAAAACTGTCAGGAAGATGGAAGTTGCACATTTTTAATTAACTCTACACAAGGCTGTGGGAAAATCCATGAGTCAGAGGAAGTTGTGTGCTCATGTTGGAGGTAACTTGGATGTAAAACTTGGCTAATGAAGTGTGGAGATATAAGTAGAAAGTGTGCAGACGTCACAGGCGCCTACAGAGCAGATGTGTTAAAATATGAGTGTAGAAACACGGAAACATGGACTGAGATCAATTTGTTACATAGGAACCTGAGAGTTTGCATAAATTCTCATCCTGAACATGACGGGATGAAAAACGTGCAAACTACGAATGCGCATGACAAGGTGAGAAACTGAGTGCATGCTTGTGTTGTATGTGTTTTTCAGGGGTGAGAAAAAGAAAAAGAGAGGGATGGGGGCCCAGCAGGTGGAGGCAAGTTGTGACAAAGTGGTGACGCACTTGATCAGGCTTTAGACAAGCAGCCACCCTCCTTGTCTCTGCTCTACCCCCTCTGCTCACATAAATAAACCAGCAGTCATTAATATTCAGCTATTCATCAAAATGGAACGTTCACAGACAGGCTCACGTTCTGCCTCTGACTGTGTCTGCTGGATGAGTGGCACCGCTGTCGTCCAATCATATCCGCACAGCTTATATGTATTTCACGAAGTTGAAGACGTCATGGAATTTTTCTGCCACACAAAAGCGTGGAGACAGATGGGAATGTGAGGGATGAGCGGACTGTTTCATCCTTATATAGGCATGACAAGCTCTGACTCCTCCAGTTGAGCTTTGTGAATGTGTGTGTATGTGAAACTTTACAGCTCTCTATTGATCCTGTTTTTTGTGCAGAATGAGATCAGGTAGAGACAAAGTGTTGAACAAAGTGACAGAATTCGGTCACCTAGAAGCACAAATAGGTTCTTTATTGAAGATTTTTGCAATATTTCATCAAGAACTTACTTATTCATACAAACCTTGAAGAGCAAACATGTCAAAGGGTTGAATTATTATGCTTGAATGTTCAATTGTTGTTGTGCTGGGTCAGTAGTAAGTTTATTACCCAAAAGAGAGTATGAAATTGGACTGAATGCTGCAGACAGGCTCATTTATTCCATCTTAACACTGACCCAACACAATTTTAAAAATATTTCTCCATCATGTTTTTACTTTGGTGCCTTAACTAGAAGAAATGGGGAGAAAAAAATGGGAAGGGGCATGCAGGGAAGAAGCCACAGGCTGGGAATGAACCAAGGACATCCGCATTTCAGTCTAAAGGTTTACCTTTGGCTACTAGGCTAGTTGTACTCCCCAAACACTGTTTTTGGTAATTTATAGAAAGTCTTCAGTGCTTTACTTTGCATTTTTGTGTCAGCTTTGTAGTGGGGCAACACATGTAGTCTTCAAAAACAAAGCTCAACTCTGCTGCTCTTTCCTCAAAGATGTTGTCCATCATGGAGGCTTGTACTCCAACTCAACAAACACCATCAGCACACAGAAGCCTTCCCCCTTCACGTTAACTTCATGGGAGCATGTCTCCAGTCACGTCTCTTGTTATTAGCAGGCTAATCTTCTCCACTCTGGAATCATCACACCGGTATCTGCAAAAATGTTGTGATGATAAGAGACTGTCTATCATCTGTTTCCCCTGTCTTATTTCAGAGCCTTAAGATCATGTTTTAAAGCATCAAACAAGTATTTCTATGACACACAAATTTAACTCTGCATGTCTGCACAGCATGTTATTGTCATCCTTTTTTTCAAAATACTTCCCTACATCACTTTTCCTGGTCACAACTCACATGGTTGTAAGCTGTACCTGTAAGCTAACTGAGTTGCTATCATCCAAGATGGCAGTGCAGTGCATCAACAGTAAAGAGGAACAGTGAAAGCTCTCAAAATGTATTATTTATCAGCACTTCTGTTTTGTTTTTGTGAAATTCAATAAGTGGTTTATGTTGTACTGCCCAATGTCTAACTGTGAACACAGTGCTATGGTGTTTGTAAGAGTAAAATACTGTGTTATGTATTGTTTACAACTGGTATTGCTCACAACAGCTGACAATGGCTAACAACAGCTGACAATTGTAGGCGTCCATCTTGGTTTTGTGACTTGTTAACTGGAATGCTGTCAACTCGGGTGTAACGTCATCACCAGCTCCGACATCATACTGTGGTAACTGGAACGCAGCATTAGACCAGTCCAACTTATTATCCAGATGTACACCTAGATATTTATGTGATGTCACCACTTCAATGTCCACTCCACAGGCGTTCACTGGCTGAAGAGGGGGTTTGGATCTGCTAAAGTCTATGATCATTTCTTTTGTCTTTGAGGTGTTGAGGAGGAGGTAGTTTTTGTGACTCCAGTCACTGAAGACTCTTATCAGATCTCTGTATTCAGCTTCTTGTCCATTTCTGCCACAATAGCAGTTTCATCTGGGTATTTCTGGATGTGGCAGGACTCGGTGCTGTATTTGAAGTCTGACGTATACAGTGTGAACAGAAAAGGATTCAGGACTGTCCCCTGTGGAGTCCCTGTACTGCTCATTAATGTCCCAGAAATGTCCCAGCCTGACAAACTGTGGCCTTCCTGTCAGGGACAATTGGTACAAGGAGGTAATGAGCCTAGTCCCCTTGGAAAAACTGACTTACAGTCTTCATGATAACATGGAGGGGTTCTTAAAAGTATGGCATCCAGTTCTGGATGCTGTGGATCCTTCTACTGAGCTTCAGTGTCCCTTACTAAGTTACCTTCAACGGTGATGATTCTGACATGGCCTGGGATATGTATGTCACTCTGGTGGTGTGCTAATGCTTGTCTGTGTGTAATCCATATAAAGTTGCATTACCTGCGATGTTATGTTTATGTTTAATATCTAAGTAGCTTAGACTACAAGGAAAAATTATGGTTCTACAGAAACTGTATGCAAGAGAGAGTCTGTTGACAGATTGAAGCTCAATATAAAGAGAGTTGAAAAATCCATTTTCTTTATGGAATGGGGTGAAGAAAGGACAGCATCCTCTTTATTGATAGGTAGACGTAATGACTGTTTGTGTTAACTATGTTCTTATTAGTGTGGTTTGCTTGTTTGTTTGGACATGATTATTTATTCAACCTGATTTGGTATTTATTTCTCATAGTCATCATAACAACAATATTCATCATCTTCAGTTTTCAGCAAAAATAAATGCCATCTTCAGTTTAGCATAGTACCAGTTATTTAGACACACACAGTTTTACAATGGCTGACAAGGACAGATCATCTGTAACAGCCTCCAAGTGCTGCAAATGCACAAACAAGTTCAAAAACACATGCAAAACCATAAAAACACTACAAATGACCAAAATGTGCCTCAGGAGGATGAAAACAACACTGAGTTTGCTGTAGAAAAGAGAAAGCAGTACAGTCTGATATTAGAGCGTAACAACATCACTGTAGCCAGGATACTTAAGAAAGGTCTGACCTGAGCTCTGGTACTAGGAAAGATGAAGTCAGTGAGGATGGGAGAAGAGCGACAGGGTGTCAGGTGTAACATTTATCCACCTCAGGAGACCTGGGGGGAGGATCTGTGTCACCGACTCCTATCTGTACAGCTAATCAAGCTTTGTTGCTAACTTCTTTAAGTTCTCAGAGCCTGAAACTTGGCAGAGTCAGCTGATTATACCTCAAGCTATGTTCGGGTTAGGGTTAGGCTAACTGAGGCTCATGGAGGAAGCTGCAGCAAGTAGCGCAGTAGAAACCCATCTGGCTTAGTTATGATAGTGGTTTACATGCCCCTCACTCCTCCTCCAGCCCCAATATGTCCTCACCATTTGTGGTGTCAAAATCAGGGTCAGGCTTTTGTAATCCCCTTTCTATAACAGTAATTTACATTTCCCTCTTATATTAAGCTATTTTCCCCTTCAATAGTAAAACTGTTTAGCTTTGTGCTCCTGCAGACCTGGACTGAAAAGTTGCAATGTGCAGCAGTTTTTACTGGTTAGCCTGCAGGTTCAGACTGCTGCAGATTGTGTGCCTGTCGAGTTTATTGAAATCCTATTTGGTGCGAGAAAACCTTGAGTAAAATAACCCAAATATCAAAAGTAATATGCAAATTCAAGTACTGCATCTGAGTTGCAAACTAAAAAAATCCTTTTCCCCTGCAGTGTGTGTTATTATTCACTGATATTTTCACTGAGTCTTAATTGATCATGTCTTGTTATCGCACTGAAATAACAGTTTTTGTTTCTGGTGTCATTTGAGTATTGTGCCATTTTGGTTTGTCTGTGAATTGTAATAGAGTTTACACTTCACATTCTCTGTTTTCTTCTCCACATTCCCTGTTGTCCATCTTTTTCAGCTGATTTCTTGCACAATAAAAAAAGATGGATTACTGCCCGGAGGAGTTACACAATGGCAAGTGTGTCCGTGTGTCCACGAGTTTGTGTGGGGGAGTGTGTGTATATCCGAGCTCTGATTGCTTTGGGTGTTTGAGCGATTGCCAAGATATATAATGAACACACACTCAAAAAAAACATTTTGTTAAACAAGTATGAATTTATTCTTTCTTTATGCTGCAACATTTTTTTCTTTTACAGTAAAAATAAATAACAAATCTTCCAATCTGTTTGAAAGAATTATCATTTTTTCTCAAATACAAACCAAAACATAGAATGTGCACAATGACAAAGTGAACAAGGAGAAAATGGTATCACTGGCACTTCGGTCATCTGAAAGTGACCCCTCTATCGTGGCCACTGGAGAGCACCCCAGCCCAGTTTGACCTTCTCCACCTGACTCGATTAGAGACCTAACAGCAGCATTACACTGAATATTTCCAAAAAATCAGTCTTCTCATCATCATAATAACTTCCATTTTAAAGTTTCCAATCAGTCAGTGAACACGTCTCTGGTAATCAGAAGACTACAGAGAGGAAAGGATGGAACATGGTTTGTGTTGAGGCAAGGCTAACTGGCTTTGTGAGTGGGTTTGTTTATGTGCGCCTCTCCGACAATACCTCCTACTCATTCACACCTACTACATCTTGGCCTTGCCCTGCGCACCTCTGTTGAAGCTGGGGACCACCTCCTTCCGCACTTTCTCCCGCCCTTGAGAGATGCAGAGAGCTTTAGGAGAAAGGTGGGCATACAGAAAGAAGCCAGAAAGCCACCACTATACTTCAGCACACCTACAATGACTTTCTCCTACAGGGCAAAGAGTGTGTTGTTGTTTTGAAGGGGAGGAATGGATAAACAGTGCTGAAGGAGAGTAAGTGGAAGTCTATATTTGGAAACTTCCACTTCCCTTTGTTGTTGGATTTGAGCTGCATGCCTAAGTGCAAGATGTTTCTCTTTGCAGCCTCAGCATAAAGAATTTCTTGAACTGAATGTGGGAATAATAGTATCGGTCATGTTTCTCATTTTCTCCTTGGGTCTGTCTCTATATCAGTATCTGGGTCTTTTTTTGTCCCCTGCTTTCTCCCACTCAGACAGTCACCAGACTCTGTCATTGCTCTCTTAGTGTATTTACAAATCGGCCAGTTTGCACCTCCTCTGTCCATCTGGCGTTGCCCACCGGTGAGTCACTGGAGTGACAAACTTACTGACGTTTTTGCATTTTGCTGTGATGCCAGCTTGTGAATCCATTCATCCTTTTGTATCTTCTCGCACACAGAGACAGGTGTCCATTACAGCATGGGCTGAGCGCCCTCTATCTTTGACATCAGGTCCATGTGATCAGTCCTTATTGTCCCATTGAGTCAGATTTACTCACAGTTTGGTCACATTGTTGCATTCTGCTACTTTTTCAACACCATTTTTTTGGTTTTGTGCCACATTTGTGGCTTTCAAATGTTGTCTGCTGCACAGACAACTATAACATTCACCTTAATTTCCTTTTTTAAAATCAATTTTACAAATAATGCTACTAAAAGAAGTATTATGGATAGCATGATTCAGGAAATATTCAGTGTATCTTTATATCAAGAACTTCATCTCCATCCAACAGTTTTTACAAATCATATCATATGTCACAGAAAGACATCCAAAAAACAAAATCTCTGGCTTCCTGACAAGAAGCAATCTTTCCCTGCAGTTGTCATCAATGACAACATACAGAGAATGGTAGATGTGGAGGATGGATGGACAACTACAGATGGGCGGATTTATTACTTTAGTCCTGCGTGTTGCTGCTTCTGCCCACAGCTCTGTCCTCAGAGTGCTTGGCTATTTCCTTGCTGCTTCTTTCCTTATTGCTGCAATAACTCTACCCCCTCCTCCTTTCTTGTCTCTGCTCCTCTTTCTAATCCTGTCTCTTTGACAAAATATCCCCCTCCCTCCACTCCTTCTCAATTTACCCTCCTCCTGTCTGTGCTCCCTGCAGTCCTCTCTCTTTCCTTGCAGTAAATCCTCTTCTTTCTTTCTAACTTTGCAAAGCTGTGCATTGCGTCAAGTCTGGTTAAAACTACCAACCTTCAAATTATACCCTGGATAATGGTGAAGATGAAATGGCTGTAGCACAAATATCAGTTTGAACAGTCACAAGAACACATGACTATTTACATGACACTTTAAGTGGTTACAGTATTGTCATTACTGTGCACTGATTCAAACAGTAATTGTAGTACTGGTAGCAGCCAGTTGATTAGATGCACTTGTAGCACTAGCAGTTTAAACTAAGTCGAGGTGACAGAATTGAAAACATCATTCACAACTATCAAATTGTGTTGATATTAGAGATGGACTCAGCCCTCGTAGCCCTGATTGCAGGGAATCATGACACCTTACAGGTAAGACACAGAAAGCAATACCTGTAGAGTAGTGTAGATACATACGACCTCTACTGAAGAACTCTTTGCAGCCCTGAAAAATGTTAAGCCCTGTAAGTGGTAGATTCAAAATCTGACCGTCCCCCCATCTCCCTCGCTGTTGCCTTGAGGAATGGCGAACAGCAAAGTGGGCAAAGGAGGTGTAAAAAGTCTAACAGGGGACCCCACAGCCTATAAAACAGGCTGCAAGGCACAGGAGTTGGGTACTCAAAGTCAGATTCAGCCGAGCAGTAGATTGAGGTTGAGGCAGAGGTTGAAAACAGAGAGGGCTAGCAATAAAAGGAAAGATGGTGAGGAGGATAAGGGAGAGGAGGCTGTTGGAGGAAACTCAAAGTCAGGTGGGCATTCTAGCTCGAAGCATCGCAGGGTAACACCTGAGTCCTCGTTGCCGTAGTTTGCCCAGTACTCTTCTGGGTCAAGTTTGGGCAGCGCCAGCTCTTCCTCACCCAACTCATACTTGACTACTGAGGTGGTTGTGGATGGGCCTTTCCCGTACAAACCAGCTTTAACAGTCTCGGAGGCTTTCTCAAAGACGCCTTTTGTGGATGACTGGGGCTTGTTCTTGTGGAACCACCAGCGGGTTTTGGTGCTGAATGTGGTGGTGGTGGAACCGGCAATGGAGCCTGGGTCGGGCAGGGGGCAGAGGGCGAAGTCCATCTCACGGAGGAAGCGGAGGTCCTGGCCGCGGCGAGTGGAGGGGGAGGAGCAGATCACATCAGAGGAAGAGACACGGGCCTCACGGAACCACTCCCACAGGGGGCGGGACTCGCAGCCACAGGACCAGGGGTTAGCGTTGAGGCGGAGGAACTCGATCCCTTGCGTGTCCCTCAGGGTCTGACTGGGAAGCTCAGCCAAGGAGTTGTTAAAGAGGAAGAGCATGGTCAGACGGCCGAGGTCACGGAAGGCGCGGCGGTTCACCTGCCTGATTCGGTTGTCGTGGAGGAGCAGGCGGTCAAGGTTGACCAGGCCACGGAACACGTTCTCTGAAAGAGTGCGGATGCGGTTGCCATGCAGAAAAAGCTGGCTCAGGTTGATGAGGTCAGAGAAGATGTCGTCTTGTAAGAAGTGGAGATTATTTTCCTGAGGAAGAAATGAAGAAAAGTAATTTAATATGAGAAGAACAAACAAAAAAAATGTAATATATGTCACTATAGCTGTGTGTGTTTAGATATGGGTGAGAACAAGTAGAGTGATTTTCGTCTCTTCATTGCCCCTACCTGCAGATAGAGGTACTGCAGACTGTACAGTTTGTGGAAGATGTCATGGGGCAAGGCAGTGAGCCGGCAGCGGTGCATGTGGAGGCTCTGGAGCTTCTCTAAGCCACGGAAGGCTCCTCCTTCTAGCCTGTGGAGACCAGGATTGTCCCCTAGGTCCAACTCCTCCAAGTCCCTCAGCTCACTGAAAGCCCCTGCCTCAATCCAAGTGATGTTGTTGGAGAACAGCCACAGAACCTGGTGCAAGAGGAGACAGGAAAAGATCTGTTATTCCCTCTCAGTGGATATGGCATGACTTTACATTCTTCAAAGAATGAAAAGTGCACTTTTTATGCTTTTTGATTACGATTTTTTTTGCTGCATGTGATGTAGCTATTCTAAATTCTTCATACCTGAGTCCCGAAGCCAAAAGAGCCAACTCTAAGCTCCGTAATCCGGTTGTTTTGGAGAAACACACGCTGCGACTCATAGGGCACTCCGACCGGGACGGCGGTGAAGTTCTGCGCCTGGCAGCTCACAGTCATAGGCGTCGGGTAGCACACGCACAGTTGTGGGCACGCCGATGCCGGACTTGGTTTGCCGAGGACCAGCCACACCAACAACCAGAGGGAGAGACCGCCTAAAGGAGAGCGGGGAGAGAGAGAGAGAGAGAGAGGGGTGAGCGGGAGCTGTCCGCTGCTGAAATCATCCACTGCCAAAGCTTCCATTATCAGGCAAAGCATGCATGTAAGTGCACAGTTTGAATTTCTTGTCAGACTGAGCTGGTATTGTTACAGACATTTAAGCTGAGATTGGCTCTTAAATACCACTTACTGTAAGATTTATAAAGTTTACGCGTCAGAATGTCATAAAAACCGCCCATTACGCACAGCAAAATCACACAAATATGTGATCAAGATCAAATACAGCTCCACAAAGTGCCTCTATTTCACTTTATAATGTGCAGTTTTCACAAATAGTGAGCAGAGAAATTAATCAATCTTCTCAAAAGAGTTTTTTCCAGTCCATTCAACTGTACATCCAAGTTGGATTTTGTGTTTAACAAAGCAGAATTTCACCAAGAAAGAAAACTTACTTATCAGTTCACAAGTAAGCATAAGAAAACAGTATGAGCTCTATGCAGTGTCCATGTGGCTTTCAAAACCGAGAGAATACAGAAAAACTTACTTTTGCAGTTGCGCATGATGGAGCATCGTCGGCTCCGAGAAATCGATGAGGTTTCCATCCTGAACCAAAGCCCAAAAGCGAGTTAGCCTAAGAGGACGAAGTAAGGCCTGCTATCTCCGCTGATGCCCTGGTTCCCGAGTCGGAGCGACTGAGAGTGTGCCGTTTGATGGCAACCAGTGTCCCATATATACTCAAGCATCCCGTTATTGCCTACGGCAGTGGGCACCGTGGAATCTCCTACGTCACCAAGCCAGGGTCATGAATGAGTGAGGGCGGCAAGAAACGGAAAGGGGCGGGCCCAACCACTGGGGAATCTCTTGGAGAGGTGGTTACGCGCGTAAAGACTGGCTGGATACGTGCGCTCTGAGTCTGTGAGAGGAGGAGACTTTCTCGACGCAAATAGGAACACGGGGAAGGGAGGGTGAGATGGAGTGAAAGTAAAAGCACGGGGTGGGGGGGGGCATGGTGCCCGGCGATGATGACTGGGCTGTGTGGAGGAGCGGAGGATGGGTAGGAGAAGAGCGCACAACTCGTTTCCTGGATGTCTCGCTCGCAGACCGTTATGGTCTGTTTCCGGCGCTCTGCCGCCAGACAGAATGCAGAAAAGGCTTAGATGGTTCTTTCTTAGAGAAGGAGGATGCCCCCAAATTATGATTCAGCCTCAAGAGAGAATTCAGTGCCAGGATAGATCCACTCACAACAACCCTGGTTGAGAAATGTTTGTTGTAAAGGTTGACTATGACATAGTCCAGCCAGGCTGTAAAGTAATTATAGCTCCTGACATAATTCTTGAGGTGATGAAGAAATGAAATGGCATCAATTTGATTAATGAGGCAAGAGTTATGAATTGTGGTCAGGGAGATGTTGCTTAATTCCAATTAAGGGTACTTGTAGCATTTGAATGATGATGTGCACAACTTAGTGCATCATTTCTAACACTTGGAGTAGTTCTTGCAGTTTTTCAGTCTTATTCCTTTTTGTCACACAGGGTTATGTTCATGTATGCTAAGAAAAGACTACAGTAATGAGGCAACAAACACAGCAAAACGCAGCAGTGATGCCTGAAATATGCATGCCACATCAAATCTGTTATGCTGTGCATCTGTGCAGCAAGCTGTTACTGCTTGTGTTTAAACACCAGCTACAAGACAGAAAGGTATCATCAGCTATGTTTATCATCAATTAGAGTGATAAATGAACAGTCACCTGCCTCTTCACTTCACAGGAGAGAAAGTAGTGATCCATGTACAGCAGGGTATAAACTAATAAAACAGCTGTTTATGTTTGTGTCCGTGTGTGTGAATGTGATAATTTCACCTTCAAATGGGTCAGGCTTGAAACTTTGTGATGAGGTGCTATGTTGAATATTTTTACATCTTTGCTTTTATGACTTAAAAATTAGTGGACAAAACTTTCTAAGGTAGATCACAGTACAAGAAGAACTCTAAAGAGTCAGTCACTACAGAAAAGTGAGGTGTATTAGATGGTTTTCAATGCAGGATTTCTCCTACCTTTTCCTGGACCAGACAGAGAGCAGATGTTTGATTGCTTAAAGGTTGTTTTGAACATAATCTTTCACTCATGCAACTTGCAAAGGATGAAATGTTTGAGGCTGAAGTACTGAGAGAATTCCCAATGAATGAGGCTCAGTGGTGGTATCTGATCTCCAAAACAAAGATTATAAAGGGTCTGAGGTTGAAGTTGGATCTTAATTGCTGTCAGAGAATAGACCCAGTGATCCAAAACGTTGAGGAGTACCAGAAACTCCCTGTGAAGACAGAAAAGTATTACAGGGAGGATGAACATTATTCTTAGAGGCTTGAAGGTGAAAACTGTCTAGTCTTACTCGGGCTAGATTAGGTTGTCTATTCACTGAACAAGCTGAGCTAGAGCAAGAAATTTTGAGGACTGGATATCCAGTATTGGTGAATAATAAACTGAAGGAAGGTAAGAAGTGGCCCAAGGCTTATTAACCTTGGTTCCTTAAAAAAAGTTACGTTTAGGTCCATCTTCTAAAAGTGCGATAAATATCATACAATTGATATTTTTTTGCTTAAGTCCTTTAATCAACTTCAGTCCTGATCATATCTATCCAATATAAATTCATTTTCATAATTTTAACCCTTTAAATGCCATTTTGGCTAGATGATGTCACTTTTATTTTAAATAGAAAAATAAGAAATATAGAGTTATCTTTCATATATTACATGCTAGGCAGGAATTTCTTTGTTTTTTTTTTATCAAAGTTTATGATGTGTCAATAATTAATAATAACATTAATTTTGATGCATTAATATCTTTGATGTATTGTTTGATTTCTAAAAAAGTTACGTTTAGGTCCTTAGATGGTCATTTTTGTCCATCTAAGGACCTAAACGTATTGTGTTTTTGTCACACAGTGAATATTGAGCTGATATGATAATAGGTGGTCACGTTTTAAAATTTGGAAAAAAAAAAAAAAAACTGAAAAAATGATCCCATTTGCATTAACACAGCCAAAATGATCAACAAATGAAAGTTTAAGAGTCACCAAAAATGGACAAAAATGTCCTAAGAGCTCCCAGAGGGTTAACCATAACTAAGACCCCTAAATGAGCAGGATCATGATTGGGATCCTAAAATATTTAAAGGCAAAATTCTGGGAGTTGTAACTTCTTTGTTGTCTGCAGATGAAAAGGGCTCAACTACATTTCACAATTGTCAATAAAAGAATCTGCTCTGAAGAATATCCTGTCCTAGATTCAAGACACTACGGCAGCTTCACATCATCGCATTCAAGCATTCAAAACGAACATTAGCACTGAGAATCTCGACTAAATGGAGCTCTTTCTGTCTCACTTGTTGTTAGTTTTTTGCTTCATGAAGTCAGTTTTGCTCTGTGTCTGGTCAGTTATTGACTAGTTTGATTCAGATGCCTTTCTTATCCTCTCCTGGTGCCAAACTTGAAGTCATGCAGTCAAGGTTCTTGGTACATTCAAAGCAGCACTTTAAGAATTCTAGTAAAAAGCTTCACATTTTAAGCTTCTTCATTTTTATGTCGAGGAGGAAGACAACAGAGGAGTAATCCATGCATAGTACTCCACATGCAGCTCCACAGATGAGTGTATGATTTAAGAAATAGTCACACATAAGGGCGTATTCATGGCTGCGCACACATCAACATGCCTGCAGACCTCACACACACACAGTGTGTATGACACAAGCATCCTTCTTCAAAAAGCCAACTGAGCCACAGGCAACGATAAACAAATGAGTAAGTGAGGGGATCCATGACATGGTGTGTGTTGTTGTTCGCTCACACCTCCTGCTTTGTCCTTATCTGGACTTGTAGACCAGCTTCGGTGCCTACTGGCCATCCGGGACCAACACCTCACAGGCCTCTCCTTCTCACACACACCCACAGCACCAGCTGTGCAAGTGTGTGAGCCTGTGTGTCACTGTGTTTCAATGCATGTGTGTTAGTGTGCCTGCCTGCTGAAGCACAACTTTGTCTAAATGCCACCACAGAGTGTCAGTCATTCTGTGTTGTGCCAGGCACCCACACAGCAGGTTTGTGTTACTGTGTAGGCACTGTCTTCTTAATGAGTGTGCCGAACACTGTGTTGTGTTCCCCGCACAGAAACGAACCGAGGCTTCCCCGGCCCACACCCACTCCAACACTGCCAGCCTGTCTCTCTGTCCATCTGCAACTCTTTCTTAATCGGTCCTCAGTCTGCAGCTTGCTGCACCGCCCCTTATTTACTCTGTCCTCAGTACCACTGTTAGTTACCCACTGAGGAGTGCGTCAGTGCCCCAGCCAGGAACAGCTTGATTATCTTGCTCTCAGTTGAGAGAAACCCTGAAATACACTGACCACTCCTTCCATCGGCTTGTCCAATTAAGCCTCCGGGATTTATAACCGCAGGTGTGGCTGGCACTTTGTAAAATCAGCATGCTCACACTGATAACAGGCTGCAGTGGACGTAAGCAAGATGTTTGAATACTGAAGAAAAGGTGTGTCTGTTACCAAGGAAACAGCACTTACACCCCTCACCCCACCCCCATGGTGGAGATATCGAGTTCAGGATCCTGGGATTGAACTGCGGCACGGTGGGAAAATTCACATGAGATTGAAAACACTTGAACTGCTTGAGTTCATTAACGTCTTCAGTGCTATCGATGTGGTGAGGACAGTCAGTGAAGGAAGATGGATTTTCAAAGGTTTGTCCTATTAGTGGACTTAATTAAAAGACTTCTTGCGTCCACATTTAGTACACTTAGTGTACTTGCGTCTCATTGGGCGAGCACTAATGAAGAAGCACATGACAGTGATGAGGATGAGTGAGGAGTCAGGGGGATATCTTCACTCCTGTAGCATGTTATCTTTATTAGTCAATAACTCACTCACGATTTCTGTAACACCAAATCATTAAGTTAAATAAAAAACTTAAATATAAAGCAGAAAGGCACTAGATTGACCTTTCTGTTATGCATGAATAAACATGCCGTAACTCAAACCACATTTTCCATCCAACCTTGTCTTTTCATCGTAGACCACACTCTCTCTCTCCTTTGAGCGACCACAGCAGTTTTTGATGTTTTTAGCCTGACTGATGATGACTGATGCAGAAACACACATGCAGACACACACACACACACGGTACATGCAAACAAAAACAGCGTGGCAAAAACACAACCAGGACACACACTCTTCAGGAACGTGACTCAACATGCCTTATTGTTTGTAAGAAACTCTAAAACATATTGTACGTTGGCGCGGCCTATCTACCTCTTACACACTCACTCACATACACATGTACAGACACAGGAACATCACGATCTTTCAGCCTCTGCCCGTTTGTCACAAACAAAGACTATTCTTCAGTGTTTTGATCACCTCCCCTTCCCTACAGTGATTTTCCTTTTGTCATCCAATGCTCCCTCCCTTCTTACCAGTGTCTTTCATTTGTTCTGTCCCCTGGCGTCACTGCTTCCGTTTAACCATATACTGCTTCTCTCTTTTTTGCACACTGGCACACAGTCTGCAGCACAATGGTTAGAGGAGTGACGTAATTATTTTTTCTCCTCTCATAAGGCAGCAAGATTTTCGAGTTTGGAAAACAGACACCTATTTAGAGAGAGCGTCATCTCTTTTGTGTTATACTTTTAATACATTTTTACACTTTTTGAGGCTTTTAGAGTTTTACTCCAAAAAAATGTAAATGAGTTCCTCTTAGTCTAGCTGATAAATGTTCATCACATGTATAAATTAAAATATGCAGTAAGTACATTTTTTAATTTGGTGTTTCTATATCCTGAAAATGCCCATGTCCTGTGATGGGCCTGAAAAACCTGATGAGAGAGCGTGGGGCAAAATCTGACAGTGACTGCCAAATTGACACTCATGCTTATTGTTTCTGTGCACTTTGACAAAGTTTTTACAAGCTCAGTTTACACGTGATACTGTTATTGCATCGAATAAGATTATCTATTACACCATATATGCTAGAATATTACATAATCAGGTTTTTTGGAACATTTATGACTTTCTTAAACAGAAAATGAGGCAGTAAATATGTACAGCAGAGGGTGGAGGGAAATGTGCAGCAAATGGTCAAGGCCAGAATGAAACCATTAACCACCAGATCAGGACTAGCCTCTCCACATAGGGTGTATATCCAGATAAGTCATATACACAACAGGATTTTACTTTATGATCAAATAAAAAAAAAAAAACTTTTTCCCTTAATTTTGATCTAGTGTTGCAAATGAAAAATGAACAGACCACAAATCTTTTAAGATTGACAGTAAATTCATACACCGTTAAAAGATCCACTCCAATGAAAATCATGTTTTTCTTGTTGTCTACATGATTATATTGCATTTTTCTGATACAAGAGGACATATCATGAGAAAACTAAATATGAAATTGCATTTCTGAGTATTTCTGCATTTAAATCGCCGTGAATCTCTGACAGACCCAAACAGCAGGTTCAGAAACAGTGAGATTTACGACGTAGCAAATCTAAGCTCCGCCCCAGGAGCCCCGCTATGCAGGCCAAACGTGGAGAGGCCAGGCTGAACACGCGTCTGTATTAGCAGACTGCAATGCTCTTAAGAAAGCTAATTATGATATTAACTTTCATCATGTCCCTAAAGACATGAGTGTCAGTGAGCTGAATAGCTCCTTTGTTACCTGTTTCTTTGACTACACCTCCAATGTTTGGCTACAAGCTAACGCGAAGAGGAGTGTGCAGAGCAGCGCTGTCTCCACCCACGACTCAGAGGTGAATTGCTAATGATCTACCGGAGCTCTACAGAAGAAAAGTCCTTGAAAATGACACAGGTAATGAGATTTTGGCTAAAAACTTCATAATCACAGTTTAAAGATCACTGAGAACACTTTAAGTAGTTAAAAATAAATAAAAAAAATAAAAAAATCAGAGTGGGACTTTAAATGAATAAAATCCGTGATTAGGTTGCGAAGATCTTTCTGAAAATTGACTTTTTATTCATATAATCTTTGAGAACACTAAACATGTCTTTCAATGATTTACATGCTGAGAGCTGTCAGTCATCAAGTTTTTGCTTTAAAAAAAACGAGGGCTGAGTTTAAATAAAATTTTTGCTTTTGAATTCATTGAAATTCAAATGATCGGATGGCTTTTCATTAAATACAGCGAGTTATTGTTTTTACACCCACAGGAAAAGGGATCTGATGCAGCATGAAGGTTAAATATAGTTGAAATACTAAAAACCTCCAAAATTATCCAACGAGACATCACCCGGATATACAATCTGAGACAAACCATGTTAACCACCTAACTGTGTGCCCAAAAAAACAAAGGCTTTTGCAACTTTAATATGCAAGGATCAGAGTTCCTCATAATGCTGGTTTCCAAAGCCCCATTAATTTACTGAAACAGCATGTTTCTGACACGCAAACATGGAAGTAAATATTTCTGAAACCGTAAGTAGAGATGAAGCTCAGCTCACTGCTTGTTCTGAAAGTGCATTTTGGCATCAGAGAGAAATGATCATTTCATCCTTTGCACCAGATCTCAAAGCTACAAACACTGAGGGCTGTCAAAACTTATATTCTCATTGTAGATATACTGCCTGTCTGTGTATTACTATTCTACAACACAGTGAAGCTGCTTAGATAATTCGATGAAGCAACACCATCAAAATTTGGACGGTGAACAACTCAGTGACTGTAGGAATTCATGTGCATCGCCAAAAATCCAACACAACATAAAGGACTGTCTGTTTTAGAGATTAGACGGACTGTTTGAACCTGCTTAGCTTTTTTTGGTCAATGCAGCTTCCTGTTCTCCTCTTTCATCACCAGCAGAACAATTGTATAACACGCAACCATATGTGTTGCATGTGTTCAGATCGATACTGTCCACTCTCACGCCTCCTCCTCTATCCCTTACTCACTTACTCACTTGCACACTCATCGGGCTACGTTTTCTTGTCTCTAAAAGCAAGACGAAATTTTACTCCTGTCTGTCTGTCTGTCTGTGTGTCTGTGTGTCTGTCTGTCTGTTCACTCTCTTACTGTGTCTGTCGAATCAGGGCTGAAAAATCTGAAAAAAACGACTGTAATCTCTACAGAGGCCTCACACAATGTGTGTACAGGCAAACAGTAATTTTAAAAAAGATATTTTGGCGTAACAACACTCTTAGGGCATTAAATGGAGAAAATAACACCCAAATGTGCAATGCAGTCACACAATAGGATATAATAGAGCCTTCCAGAAAGTACTGGAGGAAAGAAAGTGCGCAGCATGAAGTCCTTCTTGATTTATTTTACTCTCAGTGTTGAAGTTGTTTCTATTTTCTGAGTTTGTTTCATTGTGTCTGTGTTGACATTGCTGCTCTGGCTGAACACAGGGCTGTTAACAGAGAGTGATCTTGTCTCTGATCGGTCACGTTGTGCTCAGTGTGAGAACATTAAAGAGTCTTTCTCAGTATTAGTTGTGTTCCTGTCAAAGTGATACTCCCAGCGTGATTTCATCTGGGGACCTTCACCATCAGATCTTTCTTTCTCACAGCTTAAAAAAAGGTCTTGTTTTATAAAGGATGGCTCTCCAGTTTTATCTGCTTTCTGCTGAGGGTCTCATTTTGGGTGTAAAGTTAGAGCATCTCTGGAGACATGTTTTCATGGGACCCAGTGTTGTATTTTTACGACAGACTTATTATAAAAAGAAAGCAAAGCCTCTGTGAATCCAGTTTAAAGAGAGATGGACAGAGTCATCACTGTCCACCTCTCTCTCTCTCTCTGCAGACCGATGCAGCTGGAAAGCAGACAGGGCCAAAGCAGCAAAATGTCTGATCCAGAGGAGCATATAGCCAGCATGATGGAGCTCAGGACTGTGTGTTAGTGACTCTAATGGGACATGATGTTTTCATGACACGGTTAATGACACGGTCAATGTGTTCTTTTTCCACTTCCTCTCTTCTTTTCATTACTTCTTTAAAAGCTTTGTTCAGTAACAACAGAGAGGACGGCTTTTTTCCCAGCAGATGCTATTCTACATCTCAGTCATAGGCTTATCTAATTAGCAGCGCTGTAAAAACAGTGACTCATACAGAGGAGCCTTGTTAACTGCTATCAAGACATCTGTTAGAGGTGGTAAAAGCTTAAGAAAAACTACAATGTCACTGTTTAATTCAGCAGACACTTTAGTCCAAAGTGATGTATGTTTAAGGTTGGGGTTTACACCAAAAGGTCTGTTTTCTGATAAGAGGATGGTACATTGATGATTCAGTGTTGCATTTTCTCAACTGGTCTGGTTCGCGGTCACAAAGGCCAAAATCAAACGGTCCAAAAATTATCACAATTATCGCATTTTTTTATTATTGGCAGCAAAAGCTGTCCAGTGATTGCCTTTACAGTTTAGGCAGATATACAACAAATCCCTCGCAATTTTAACTGTACATCATGAAGCGTCATGTGCTCATTTTTATGTTGGTGGTGATCTGGACTGCATATCAGCAGACTTTAAGACTGCGACAATTAAATACAAGCCTGTATTAATACAAGCACATCGCAGGAGATGCTCTGCAATCAGACGGTCATTTCACAGAAGACGACAGGCAATTATTCGTAACTCCACGTTTGTCCCCTGCCAGACATTAGCCACAGTTTGATAACTTTGCCTCTGACCAAAACAGGATATGACATGTAAAAAGGCGCTTCCTGTGATGGGGTTCACACCTGAAGTAAACCGCTCTAGAGGTCATTTAATAGTGGTCCGAGACCACCCATACCAGGTGGACCTGAGAGCAGTTGACTGGTCCGCACCAAAGTTTGAGGCCAGCGTTCACACCATAGACTGTGGTTCACACTAACCGAGACGAACTGCACCATGGAGGTAAACGCTCCAGAGTTCAGTTCAACTGGACTAAACAAGGCTGGTGTGAACACAACCTAAGACACGAGGAACAAAGAGCGAGTTTAAGAGACAGTTTCAAAGTAGCGGGCTTCAAATTATAAAGAGCACTAGACATGAGTATTAAAGACACCAAAAGGAGGGCTGTGTTTGTCATGATGACTGAAAAAAAGGTCTGAAAACTCATGTAGAACCAAGAATCAATTTAAGAGGTCTGTATATGAAAATACAAGGAACAGAAACTGTATTCAGAATTTTAAAAAAGAGCAAAAACAAGAGAGCGAAACTGGAGAACAGGTGAAATTAAAACATCAAGGCCACCCCCTCAGTCCGTCACTCCAGGCTGGTTAAAATAAATGACAAGGAGCGTATTCGTTAGGATTAACCAACATTTAGTAGTTTAATTAAGAAGTCAGCAGTATTAACTGTAATAAAATGCCAGCAGATAAAAGTGACCTACATTTAGAGACAAGAACTTCGCTGTCTCAGCGCCAGCTTTTGGGGTAAAAAAATGGTTGAGTTATTTCTGTGTGGAGAGCGTGACTGTTTAAGAGATGCACACTGTCGCTCTGATTCCTATCAGAAATGGATGTGAGTGAAGCTAATTACATTATGAATCAGTGTTCCTGCTCCAGTCTTATTAAGATGTGGACCAGCATATTTTAAAAGGTCCTGTCTGACCAGAAGG